TCGTAGACGTCTATGGGAGCAGAGGAGTCGCCCCCTGCTGGTCACTACAGAGAAGTAGAGTCATTTCCTCATAGACGTCTATGGGAGCAGAGGAGTCGCCCCCTGCTGGTCACTACAGAGAAGTAGAGTCATTTCCTCATAGACGTCTATGGGAGCAGAGGAGTCGCCCCCTGCTGGTCACTACAGAGAAGTAGAGTCATTTCCTCATAGACGTCTATGGGAGCATCACGCACCGTTTTCATGTCAGACAATATTTCGCGGACCGGCCAAGAAGGTCCGGAAGAATGACTGAAGAACTGAAGGTTTGCAGCTTGAGCTTCATGAGGGATGCGATGTTTGGATGACTGAAGATGTATCTGGTGATCAGGAAGACCTCACGTCTCCAGTCTCCATGACTCCGTGCTCCTCACCTCCCTCACCGAGATGCGCGTGTTTGTTCTATTTTAATAGTTTTTTCCGACCCTCGGACTTTCCCCTCCTAGCCGACACATAAAAACCGAAACTCTTCTTCTCTCACTTTCCTCTAAAAAAACACACAAACCACTTCCTCCCGCCGCCTCTTCCCAGAACGCTACCGCTGCTTCTGATGAAAGGGTGACTCACTGCATCGAGAGACGCTCTCTTATCTCCTTTTACTTCTGGGACAGCTGATCTCAGTCCTTCTTCTTGTTTGATTCAATTGAGAATACGATGACGTTCCGTCCTCGAGTCAAACAGTGACGTGATGGTGAGATTGTGACCTTTATCAAAACTAAAAACACCAGTAGTCAAAGGAACTCTTCATTTGAAAGAGTTTTGTTGCCACGGTGACACACTTGTCACCTTGGACTACTTCCTGTCATCACAACATTAAAACCAGTGGAAACTGGAACCAACAATACGTACGCTATTACAAGAGGTGGGTTTTTTGTATTTAAATGTTAGAAAAGTCTTTCACATCATCTGTAAGCCACGTTTATCGGTCCTCGTCTTCATCCTCCTCTTCTTCTTTCTGTCTCAGTCGTTCTTCCCCCTGACAGATTAAAGTTGATCCGCATCATGAAGACCCCGCCCCCCCCCCCCCCCCAAGATAATAAATATGGTTGATCAGGGCCTACCTGCTCCTCATTGATCGGTCCCCATGTGGACTCCAACACCCGCCAGTGACGAAGAGGAGAAGCCTCTGAGTGAAGAATAAAAAAGGAGGGTAGTGTGGTTTCTCCCTCTGAGGTTCAGGAAGATTAGGAGAGGAAGAAGAAGGAAGGAAGGAAGAAGGGATGGATATGTTCACCTCTTTGGACCTTTCTTTCTGCTGCTCTCATTCTCAATAACAAGAAGGTCCTCTCAGATGGAGATGGAGCAACAGATCAGAAACTCTGATGATCTACGAGGTTAAATCGAGGTTTTTGTGGCTGGAGTCTGGTGCTTTTGAAGAGAATACTCTGGAACTGGCTGACATACGACCAGAGTTTAATAAAAATACTAATTTAATACCCTCTTCACACACGTGCAAAATGTTATTTATGAAGGTTTTTACATGATGAAAATAAATAAATAGGACTGCAATCAAACGAAAGATTGTTGCCAGTTGTAAGAATTATTAGTCTGCGTTATCTCCTTTGGCAAAGGAAGCTCCAGTGTTTCCTAGGCTGAAGGAGATAGGAGAAGGAAGCATTGAAGCAGCCTTAACGTGGAGAAGGTTCATAGTGAGCGAGGAATGTTGACGCTGAAGACGCATCAGCGTCGCTCTAGCGCCCCCTCGTGGTGGCACCAACAACAGCCCACAACCACAGTGACGCCTAACGGCAAGGCGATGACGTCACCAGCAGTAAGCGCTGACGCCATCAGCGGTTCAATAAAATGAGAGGGATCATTGTCAATAAAAAAAACAACATTTTAACAAATCTTAAACACTTTAAAACATTAGAGAGATTCTGCTAATTATGTATTAGAATTTGTATTAATCAAGATTGTTGTAACAAAATACTTTAATATTGTTTTCCTTTCTCTGATCTATTTAGAGGTGTTGCTCTATTTAAAAAACCCTTCTTCGGAGTGAAGGGAAACGTTCATTGGACTTTAGATTTATCCTAAATTCACCAGAAGTTACCGTTACACATCATTTCCACATGTAATCACAACGTTACACAGAACTAATGATTGACTTGATATATCGTTTAACAGGGTTCTCTAGTTTTCAAGAAGTGACACTTTGTGTCGGTGGTGAACGTTACGGACGTTAATATGAATCTATGAGACGTTCATGTTTAAACACCTTTAAACACCATGACGCAGTGGCTCCTCTTATCAGACACACAAACTCACCGTTATCTGCTGCCCCGCGGCGGGATTCACACCGACAACCTGCGTGATCTTCACGCGGCTTCAAGGGACGAACCCACGGGAAGTTGCGCGCGCTCCGCTTCCCTTTCGTTCACGCGCCTTCTGATTGGCTGCTGGGGTTTCAGCCCGCTTGCGCCTGAATATTGTAAATTAATAGATAACAAACAGCTTTATTTGTGTTTATATGATTATCTGAGCGTGTGTGTGTGTGTGTGTGTGTGTGTGTGTGGGTGTGTGTGTGTGTGTGTGTGTGTGTGTGTGTGTGTGTGTGTGTGTGTGTGTGTGTGTGTGTGTGTGTGTGTATGTATTCACACGTTGGCAGCATCGGACGCAGCCGGCTCGAAGTCGTCAGGGTGGAACTTGACGCATTCTCGCTGTTTTCTCCCCGGTTGCCTTTGCCGGTGCACACCGGAAGCTCGCCGGATGTTGACGGCCTCACGTTGCTGTTCGGAGTTCTACGCGAGTCCTCGTTGATGTCTGACACTTAACTGCGGGACGTTCGGACAAAACCTCTCATAATTGCACCGGCATGTCGGCGTCGTTGGTCAGAAGAGGACTGGAGCTTCTCAAAAGTGACGTCAAAGGTCAGATTAGCCCGCTAGCTCGCTGGTTAACATTAGCGTGGCTATCATTAGCATGGCTAGCATTAGCATTGGCGTTTCATCGTCACAGTGAAACAAACTCTCCACTTGTAAAAGTAAAAGTCCAACGTACGACATGGCTCTAACTTTACTTAGTTGGGTTTTATTTGTTATCCATTATAAGATACTTCATGTGGAATTAAGAAGTCAACTTGAAGATTATGTATTAGTATTTATATTTATTTATATATTAACACATAATATAAAGTCTTTACCGACAACCAACTTAAACCAAATAAACATGTTATATTAATGAAGAATGCTGCATTGTTTTTGTTTACACAGAACAAATAAGCCAATTAGTTCTTTATTTATACACAGAATCAATCAATGATTAAGATTTAAGTATTTGAAGATTCTTTGTTTGTGTGAAATCATTTTACACGTCTGTTATACATTAATCATAATTAATTAACAGCTATCCCAAAAATCCCATTCAACATTTATTCATGTTAATACATGAATAAATGTTCAGAAAACAATGCAATCAATTTCAGTAAAAAAAGTAGTAGTAAATTAATTTAGAAAACTATAAATACATACATACATGTTTTGAAATGTCCTGTGAATTTAGAAGAAATATGTAATATATATTTTAAGGAATGAGGGCTGTGTAACGCTTCACAATGAAGATACTTTGAGCGGTGAAGCGCAATCACACTTCATTTGAAATAGAATCATGTTTAGTGGAGCGACCAATCGCTGGCTCTCATTAATATGTCCAAAGACCCAAGATGGCGGCGCGTGCACCATGCGAGGCTCAGTGTCTCCAGACCTTTCTATTCTTGTTCATATGTACCACATAGATTCACTCTGCACTCTATCTGCTCTCTTGCACTTCTGGTTAAAGTTGAATGTAATCATCTGACAGCAGGCTGTGTCTTTCTGTCCGTCTCCACCTCCCAGATGTCCGTGACGCGAAGAAGAGGAAGCAGCAGCAGCAGCGGCGGCAGCGGACTCCCGGCTCCTCCACCGTGATGGAGCTGGTGAGCACCAAGCGGCAGGGAGTCACGCGGCAGGTGAAGCGGCTGCAGGGCCGCCTCGGGCCCGGCAAGAGCAAAGCCACCGTCAAAGACAAGAGGATCAAGTCTGCAGTGGGTCAGTCTGGTCCCGGGTCCGGGTCTGGGTCTGCATCGGGGCTCGATGCATTAAAGTAGTCCCTGTATGATGATCCCTTTATTCATCTGAACCACCTCTTCCACTGTGTTTTTATTTATTTTTCGCTGCAGAGGAGTTCAGGAAGAACCAGAGGAAGAGTCACATGGCCGACAACCTCAAGTACTTCATGGGAGCCGACGATAAAACGCCCGACTCCGACACTGTGAAGGTAAGAAAGCAACTGCGTTTGTCGTCAACGGCAACAGAAAAAGGATCTTTAGATCCTGATGGATTCGTGCCGTTAATCCAACGTGTTTGTCAGTAGATTATTTAGCGTGATGAGTCTCAGCTTGTCTTAGTTATATATTATATTTATTAGCCAAGTCACATGTAGCCAACGTAAATGTTACACGCGACAACGTTACGTTTTTTCCCCGATGTGTTTTTTCGTGCAGCGACTCGTTGAATTAAAGGAGTTCTCCTTCTCGTTGTCTCTATTCGCGTTGGTAAAAGGCTCTTTTGATTCCGGGTCTCCCTCAGATCCAGAGCCACAACCTGGGGCGGCAGTCGAGGAATCGCCCGGAGCCGCCGCCCAAGAAGGTGGAGAAGGTGGAGTCTCTGTTCACGGAGGAGGAGTTCCAGCAGTTCCAGAAGGAATACTTTGGCAGGACTGTCGAGGAGAAGAAATGAAGCGCACCGTTAAAAACACAGAGACCCTTCAGTCCTCGGAGGAAACGCCGAGCTGCTGCTGCTCACGTCAGACCGTCTCTTCAGCGAATGCACGAGCACAACGTGTGCGTCGTTGCCTTCAGCCGATTCAAACGCTGCGGATCTCCTTCGGTTCTTCAAATGGAAATGAAAAGTAAAATAGTCGTTAGTTCTACTGTGTGGACGACACGCTGAAGACTTCTGTGGACTCTTTTCCTGTTATAAATACATTTCTGCACTGATCAGTCTGTTCTTACTGAAGTAATGTAACTAAAGTGGGAACCAACTAACCAGAAATAAAACGCTTAAGTGAATCCTGAAGGCGGATGATGTCATAAGAGAAGTGAGAATCGAGGACGTGTGAGGACACAACAAACATCTAACTTTCTCATGCGCGATAACGGTTCGTACCCTCAGCCAACCACCAGGTGGCAGTAAAGTTCAACCAGAGGGAAACTTGAGTTCCCTGATGAACACCTCTGACCTCATTCATGAACAGTCTCCTCCCCTTTGTATATAAATATGTTTAGACATCAGATCTATAAGTTTAGTTATTGATTTGAGGACTACAAACTGGGAGGCGTCCGGTTGGGTTTCCTTCTCTGAACCGACAGCATCGAACAAAGTTCTTGTACTTCGACTTTCATGTGTACGAATCAAAGAACGCAGCATGTTTGAGACACTTCATGTTCAAAACTCATTGAACAGTTTAAATGTATACGTAAAGTCTATCATTAGATTATGATAGCGTGAACGTGACTAAGCCGATAAGTTTAACCTGATCCAAAAGGCAGAGCGTCATAAAGTTCCTCCTTTAGGGCGACTCCCGGTGGCTTTGACCCCCCGAAACAGGACTAGAGGTTTAAATTTGTCACTTTCTCGTAACAGTCCGACCAGCAGGATTCATTAAACCAATTAGATTAGTTTGTATATTTAAGCTTCAACTTTACTGATCGCGGGAGATTTTTAGTTAATGAGCTAAAAGAAAAAGTAACTTCTTTAGGATCAATGATTAGTCATTAGGGATTAATTTACATGAAGTTGACGTCTGAAAATTTTCTTTAATATTCATCTGAGGTGAAATGTTGTACATCTGCTTCCTTAAAGGCTCTTTGGGACCAAACGAACAGTCGAGACACTTCAGAGTACCGATAGATATTTATTAGAAAAAGAGCAAAGTCAAACAGCTGAGCTTCTGATGACGTCATCAGGCCTTTAGTTAAATAAACTACCAGTACGCAGGAGAAACTATGTACACAGAACAAGTAACAGGATTCATCGATACTTTGAGGCCTCTTTCTGGACGTGAAGCTGAAGAAGAGGAAGGTGGACAGGAGGCGACTCTGGGTAAGAGGGAGGAGTCGCTTCCTGAGAGCTGATCTGGGATCAGATACTGGGAGGGAGGGGGAGGGGGTGTTGAGTCTGTACTGCAGTGAGACAGAGGGGGAGAGAACAGATGCACCACCCTTCATACCAACATCATCGACTTCCAGGAGCTTCTCTTTGCTTCCAGCCGTTTAACTCTTCTGCTGATGGAGTTCCACTTGTTCGTCTCTCGTCCGCTACGCCACCGAGCTGGACTTGACGCGGCGCTTCCGGACCTCCTCCATCAGGTCCTTGAGGTACTGGATCTCTCGGCTGATGGAGTCCGCCTTGTCCGACAGCTCGCCGTTCCTCTTCTCCAGCTCCTCGCACTCCGTGTTCAGCAGGTCCTGCTCCACCCTCTTCTTCTGTCTGTAGCGCGTGGCCGCCGTCTTGTTCTGCTCCATCTTCTTCAGCTTCTTCTCCACCTTGGGAGCGCCGGACACAGATTTGACCTTGGGGGTCTTGGTGGTGGAGGAGGGCTCTGGTTTGGAGTAGGGTTTGGTCCTGGAGGACCCGGCGGTCGGAGGCTGGAGGCGAGCAGGCGAGCCGGCAACGGACTCGATGCCGGAGTCGCTGTCGCAGTCGCTTGGTGGGGGCGGGATGGCCGAGGGGTCTGGGATGGAGACGAGGGGGGGCTCGTCCTGGTTGGCGAGGACCACAACCAGGTGACCAGAGGTGGGAAGAGACAGCACGATGGGGCTGCTGGTCAGAAGGACCTCGCTGGGCCCTGGAATGATGGCGGCGGAGAGGCGCGCCGGCGTTTTCTCGGCGTCCGGGACGTCCACCTCACTGCCCAGCTCCAGGGTGGAGGCCGGAGACGGAGGCTCCGCCTTCGCAACCTGCTGGTCGGGGGCCACCTCGGCGCCCTCCAGCGAGGGGAGCGGCATGCAGAGCTCCAGGCCGCCATGTGGCGAGGAGACCGACGCGTTGAAGGAGTCGACGTCCAGATCCACGTGGGAGTCGAGGGAGGCCAGCAGGTCCTCGGGGGAGCTGGGACACTCGTCAGACGAGCCCATGAGGGAGTCCAGGTCGAAGCCGCTCAGGTCGATCTTCTCCGACATCCAGTCCATGCCAGCGAACGCATCATCTGCAGACACGAGCGGATTCAGTCATTCCAAGTGAATCAAACCGCGAGGAAGCAAATGAGAATGAAACATTTTGACACATTAAACGTTACAGCAGGAACGCAAATGGTCACAAGGAGCTTTTCCCCTGCAGACGCAAACACGATCATTATTAGAATGAAATTATGAAAATAAAGTAAATCATTTGCCTCTAAAATGTAGTTTAGTACAAAGTATCAGATTAAGTATTGAAAAATGTTACGTGGCAACTTTGTTGTGACCGAGTGAAAGCTCGATAAGTTTGTCCTGAGAATCAAGTAATCAAGTAAATCTGAGTAGTTTGTGACTCATGTGAGCAAATATTCAGACACCACGATGACCGTCCCAAATGATCGTTACGGTCACAGCGACAAAACGAGACGTTGTGAAACAACATTCTTCAAAACCAGTTTAAACCAGCTGCTAGAAGCCACTGCCCTTCATAACACACACACACACACACACACACACACACACACACACACGTCACGCCTTTAATTGTCAGGTTTGACTAACAAATGGCACATCGGTAACGTGGCAGTGGGGACATTGAGTCTTTAAAAAGGGTCATCGAGTACAACTGAATCACAATGACTAAGCAAAACACTGAAGAGTCTTTATTATATTCACCAACGGCCTGAACGTCATCGTTCTGAAGTTTCTGAGCTCACGCGGTGGAAAACGTTCAGTCTCAAGTTCTTCGATCAAAGACGTTTCTCAGAGTGTGAAACGTTCGGGTTTCTGATCATTTTCAAGTCTCACCGTTTCCGTCGTCTGGTCCAATGGTGGCGCTGAGCAGGTCGCCGGCTCCCAGCCAGGGGAGGGACGGGGAGTCCGCTCGGGCCTTGGTTCCCAGGAACAAGGAGGGGGGAGTGGGGGAGACAGGAGGGGAGGAGAAAGAGAGGGGGGGCGAAGCTGGTGCCTTCCCCTCTAGAGAGGAGGAGGGAGAAAGAGCTTCTTCATTTTGGTCCAGAAGGGGCCCCATGGGGTCAGCCGTCAGAAGCGAGGGCCCTGAGGAAAAGAAGAATCACCACATTAAGCGGACGCTTTTATCCAAAGACTTTCATAACATTTCTAACCCGTGACTCTTTCGTCCAGGGAGCAATTCGGGGTCTTTCTCAGGGACACTTCAACGTGGGACATGGAGCAGCCGGGGCTCCAACCGCCAACATTGCGGTTCCCGTCTCTACCTCAGTGTCACCGGCGCCCCCGATCATCTTTAACTATCCAAATTATACCTCTCAGAGGTGCAAATCCCTCCGCGAGGCATAAAAACCAACCTAACATGTACTATTACGGTCGACGTGCGCGTTTCATTTAGGCTCCAGCGACCTCACTAACGTTTTGTATCGGTGGTTCTGAAACATTTGACATAAACCAACCTAAGTACAGGGCCTCCGCGGCCAGCGGGCAGAGGGTCATGGCTGTGGCTGATGGTCGCTGTCGGCCGTGTGGCGGTGAATAAAAACACAGGCGAGTCTGACAGCGTCAGGGAGTCCAGGGGTTCGGTTCTGCTGGCGAGGGCAGCAAAGCTGAGGGTGTTTGCCGATAGAGACCTGTGAGAAAGAGAAATGAAGGTTACGAGGAGAAAAATGTTCAATGTGTGCAGAAAAACTGAAATCTGACGGGGAATATTTGTAAAAACACAACTGCATGATTGAAACATACATCTAAATCTGTATAAATGGAAAACTACACATGCTTGTTGCACTTTAATTTTTCCCCCAATAAACTATTATGTATATTTGCATTGGCAAAAAAAAGAAAGCTAGATAGAGACAAAAACACTACTTATTAAAACAGATTGTGCTTTAAATGAATTTACTTTTGAGTTATAGGATTGTTAGATATATAGTATATGAGAGTACTTTTTGTTGTGTGTGTTGCTTTATTGGTGTTAATCCTCACACTTTAATTTGAATATTTGCATCATTGAAATGTTAACAGAACGGTTCTCTGTGAGCCGCTTTGGTCGTTAACGTCTAACATACGGAGAGGGGGGCGGGTCTATATTTAGGCCGATCCCTGTCACTGAAGTGACAAGACGGCGTCATGGAGACACGCTCCTCCCTCACACCGGGGACAACATTGCCTAATTTGGGCATGCCTGGGCCCGCTGGCCCCGCCCTCCTGGCGGGTTGCCGTAGAGGTGTGGGCGGGGAACCGCCATTTTCACAACAAGAGCCGTCCGACGGCCGGGAGAAAGGGGGGAGCGCCCGCGTGCGCCATTTTGAACACACGCCACGTTGTCAAGCGTTTTAATTACAACACAAACACTGTAAATGTTGGAAGAACGGCCGCGTTGTCGCGTAGGAACACCTACAAAGTGTTTAAAAATGGAGGGGCTTTAAAAGTCATGGTCGTTAACTGACACGACGGTTAAAAAGAATATCGGGGAGGGCAAAGTTGTCCCCGCCGGCGGGAACTTCCTTCACTGACAGCCGGCAGTTTGACCCCATCGCCGGGTACTGAGCAGGAGAAGTTCCCTTCAGGATTCACGTCCCGGCTCTCGTAAAAGCCAAAAGCACATTAAACACAGGTCTGTTAGCATCACTAGCTAGCGCTAGTCCCAATGACGCTGAGGCTCTCGCGCGGGTTTAAAACTGCTGATAGCGAGACAAAAACACTTACGCCATTTTGCCGGAAATAGCCAGTGCACTTAGCCGCTGCACTGCCGGGTTGTTGCCGATGCGAGGAGAGCCGCTGCACGCCGTTAAGCTGACATTTTGACGCGGGCGCGCGTTCACTGAGAGGTGGACGTTCGTGGAGCGGAGCGAGGCGAGGAACCGCGGCCGGAGCGAGTCCCTGTGCTATATGTACGCAGCCGAGCCACCGCCCGTCATGTGCGTCCGCGGTGTCACTCCGCGGGGGCGGGTTTGTTTTATGCATCGGCGCGTTCCGACCTCTCAGAGGAAACGTGTCAGCACGTGGTGAATGAACACCGAGCTGCATCACGCACAGCGGCGCGCTGCTCCGCTCGGGTCGGTGATTGGTTGGAGGCGCGACGTCGAAACACAGCTGACGAAATAGACCCACATGGGGCATTAAACGCGGGCCGTTTGTGAGATGTAGGTCAGCTGGAAAACGTCAACATTAGAAAGGAAACAGTCTTTAGTCTTACATGTCAGTGACCGATGGGGGGTTATGTTTGATTACATTTTTTAAAGGACAATAAACGTCTTTTTTTTCTTCCTTTGAGAGAAAATTAGAAAATGTCCTCTTTCCATTGGAACATATGTCTTATTTCATTTTTATAAATACAAATATGTTTAATTTCTTACTTGTTTTTTCATTCGAACATACTTTTGATGCATTTTAGAAGCATGTATGCGATTAAAGTCTAACTAGTTCCGTTTTATATTTCTTAGGTTAATATATATCTAATCTAATAAGCTTGACGTAGTCACTTAACAAAGTTAACAAGTGGAAGATAACTTTCACACATGTGTATTCATTGCCTTTCAGCTGTTCTTAACCGCCCTTCTGCACAATAACTACGCTGGAGTTAATTTTTACTTTACTTTATTATGTCTTAGAATGTATTACAGCTGCTGGCACACACGTGCACGGACAGACCCCCTAGTGGTGTTCAAGCACCTGCCCCGTTGGCCCTGTTTGAGAAATTGGAATTTTACTATTTTATTTTATATATGTGTGTGTGTGTGTATAAATATTTAAACTAATGACTAACTGTGTATGTCATGTCTTATGATAACCGATTTAGTAGTTTTTTGTATCCTTTTGTTAGTTTCTTCCACGGACCCACGTCAGTGACGTCACCCGTCGCCTGATTATGACGCAACGCAGTGGACGCTGCCCGCGTTCCGTCGGCCATTTCCTAACTCGTCGTGAGCTCATCTTCAGACCTGTCCCGTGTCCCCCTGGAGGACAGGAGAGGTGCGAGACAGAAGGCGAGCAGGCTGTTTGGTTTGGTTTCCCTCTTTCAGTGACGTCGGCGCGTCGTTCCGCGGCGGCCAGCAGGTCGGTGGGACCCGGAAGCGGCCCCGGGTGCCCCGGATGCAGGTTGCGCGGTCGTTCGTCAGAAGGTAAGTCGGGTCCGCGCTGCTCGTTCCCACGGTTCGCTCTCACGGCCGGACCGCGGTTAAACGGGACCCCCCGCTGAGGGAACCGGTGCGGCGGGGAAAACGTTAGGAGCTCGAGCCACGAAGCACGTGACGGTCCCATGGGGATGACGTCATGAGGATGTTTTCTTATACATATTGTGATATAAATGTTGTTTATCACAGATATATGACGTAATGATAAACAATACAAATAAAGCAGTCAAGCGACGACATCACGGGAACAGGAAGTGATTTATTCAGGATTCGCCGTTTTAATGTCCAATTTGTTGGCCCGGCTCCTACAGAATGTCCTCCGCTCTCCCCCGTCATGTGGTCTGGCAGTCGGAGGGCCTGGTGGCGTACCTCCACCCGCGGCCCTGGACCCCCGGCGTCGTGGTCCTGGAGGGTGGGGCGCCCGGCGGCCTGGGGGTGGGTGTCTTCCAGCTGGAGGAGCCGGTCTTCCTGTCCTGGCTGCTGGGGGCGCGGGCGGTGGCCGGGCTGCTGTGCGAGCGTCTGGGCGTCCACAGGTGTGCGCTGGTGAGCCGACCCCACCGGGACCGGCCGGCCCAGGTGAGCTACTTTATGTCACGTACAAATCATGTAGGTTTCTGTAAGCTAATCTTTATCGCCTTGGTTTTGTTTTTATCCGTGAACTGTCTGCACTTCCCTAAAGGCTCCAATGTGGCTTTTCAGATCCTGGTCCTGCCTCTCCATGGTCTAGATGCAGGGTGGGCGCCCCCACCTGTCGGAAGGCGGGGAACACAAGCGACAAACGACCCGGGCTACTGCACCTCCAAGAACGCTCCTCGTTGGAGCGACGCTAGCCTGACCCGAACTCAGACCAAGATCCGCCTCTCCGAGGCCCTGGGCCGACCTCACCTTGCTTGGGGGTTGACCTAGCTCATCAGGTCTTCTTCTCGCGCATTGTCCGTGGGGAGGAGCCTCACTGGCGTGTGTGGGAGGACGAGGGTCACGTGGCCTTCCTCACGCCGTTCCCCAACGCCACCGGCTTCACCGTGCTGGTCCCGCGCCGGCCTCTGACCTCGGACATATTCAGACTGGACCAGGAGGACTACGCGGGACTGGTGCTGGCCAGCCGGACGGCGGCCAGGGTTCTGCAGGAGGCGCTGGGCGCCTGGGGGGTGGGGCTTATTTTTGAGGGCTTTGAGATCGACTACGCTCACGCCAAGTTGATACCGCTGCCTCAGGAGAAGGCGGCGCCTTTACAGGACGGAGCTGGTGAAGCTCCGCCTCCAAGGTTTCACCACACCTACCCGGGTTACGTGACCTCTGCAGACGGGCCGGAGGCCGACCCCGACAGTCTGGAGAAGCTGCACTTTCAAATCACTCGGCCCTGAAGCTCCTGGTCCACCAGCCACGTGTGTCATAACAGGGACCCTTTCACAATAAGAGCGATGATCTCCTCTTCTGATATGACGCTGCCAAGTCTGTAGTTTGGCTGTCTCGAAAGCTGCTTGGTTCTTGTGGTTCTGGTTCTGTACCCTCTTTATTGATTTATTGCACTTATTGTACATCACTTTGGATAACAGCGTCAGCTTAATGAATAATGTAAATGAGGCTGAAATTTTAATTTTAGAACGATTGAAGTCTTCTTGTATTGATCATGTTTTCAAATAAATATACAATTTTATACTTTTTTTTACGAGAAAAATATTTCACTACTTAGTATTTTTTGACCTAACTTGACTTATTTTAAGACTCGTACTCGTATTCAGGATTTCCACATGCTTTGGTCCGTCTCAGTAACCGTGTGTTCTTGGTGAGACTGACCCGACGCCATGAGGAGGTGAAGGTCCCCGTATTCTCCTCCTCATGGAACGCTCCTTTTTAGCGCCTGCAGACCGATCTTTGCCGGGTTCAGCCGTATATCGGCCCAGGGGGAGAAAATGATTCGCACAAAGCTTCTTCCCGGTTCACGCCCGGACGTGGTCTTCGTGCATTTCCTTGGAGGCCTGAGACGCCACGTAGAGAGATGAGCTGTGCAGCGACTGCAGCGCATTCTGAGGGGGGACTCCTTAGTTATTGTCCTCGGGGACATCTCAGCCGTGAACTTCCTAAGTACAGACAGCTCATTAAATGTCCCACCGGAGAGGACAAGACTGCACTGGGACACTGTGGCGCCGTCCTGGTCCCTCTGATTCCTACGGGCAGAAACTAAAGCTCTGCAAACCTGGAATGAGGGAATTCAATAATGCTGAAAGATTCCCGGCGCCGTTAAACAGCGACGTGCGCGAGGACGCGTCCAGCGCTGCTCAGCTTCAATGTTCATATTGTAATGGAAATGTGTGAACAATAAATGAATAAAGCAACACTTGTGTGAGTTGACAGCTTGTTTGTGTTGTTTGTGTCCTGCAGTGATGTGAGGAAGACGTATGAAGAGCTGCAGAGAGGACATATTTATCTACATGTTAACAGGAGGACGTCACACTGCAGCCTTTCACTTAATGTGAATTATTACAGAGAATGAAGAGACGTTTATGCTGCTTACAGGTTCATCAAGATGATCTTCACATATTAACAACACTTTTATGATGTTTCCTTTTAGCAGAAGTAAGACGGTAACATTAAAGCAGCTTCTTGTTCTGCAGCTCATGCACACTAATGACGGAAAGAGGAAGGAAGCTCTGCTGGGGATGAACAGCAGCTTGTTACCAACTCCAGAAGAGACGAGCTGACCTCAGAGACATCAGCCTCCTCTTTAATGTAGACGTGTTTCTGGTGACTTACTGAATAAAGAGTTTCTGATCTGCTGATTGAACACAGAGGAGCAGCTATGAGTCCATCAGCCGGTGGATTAGTCGTCTTCCTTCTCTCTGTACAAGGTACTGTACTTCTACATTTATATTGTGAGGCCGTTACACACCTCACACACACACAGGGAGCTGTGTTTTTATGGCGTCCGATCAGTGTCAATAGTTGCAAATGCACACAGAAAGATTCACAAATGCATTCCAGGACACACGTGAATAAATTGCGATTTATTCTCATTTGTTTGTGAATGTATTTGTAGCACATTGGACTCATAACGGTTCTTATCTACAGCGAGTTGTACATCGGCTTATTTGATGAAACTGCACTTTCTTGTTTCTTGTTCTTCTGAGTTTGTGTCCTTATGGTTGAAATGTTCTGATTGTAAGTCGCTTTGGATAAAAGCGTCAGATAAATGACGCGTGATGTGAATTGCGGAGGCCTGGACACACGCCCTTCACGCTGTTTCCGTTATTACGTTTTGTTGATCACCTCTAAAATGTTAATAATGTTCATTCCTACATGTCTACGAATCTACGTGACAAATCTCATGAATATATTCAGAAATGTACAAGTCTAACTACTGCAGCAAAGTTCATTTGATGAGAGAAAGAAGAAGACTCGGGCGACGATGGAAGCTCTTTTATTGCGTAATTTGGCGGTGTTGAAGCGGGACATCTTATTGTGAAAGGTTCAAATTGGGGTCCCGGTTATGTTGGCAGCATTGATGGTAGTTTTGGCAACTCTTTAACCAACATTTAATCTCCGTGAAAAACTATTTCTCTGTGCGCATTTGCATTTACTGATCTGACCCCATGTTTTCAGTTAACACACAGGTCTGATGTCATGAAACACAATTAGTGACTAAACATTAACAAGGGAGAAACGCTCTGAAGGATTTGTCCCTGTTGAACGTCCTCTAACCGCTCAGCAGCGTTTCTTTGCATTAAGAGGCCGTTTTTCACTCTGAGGACGTTTGTTCTTCTTCTTGAAGGATTTTTGGGACATTTCGTAACTTTGATCCGTGTCACAGATAATTGATTGACAGCCGGATGCTGAGCGCCGAGTCATCAGTGAGATGTGACCTATATGTCACAGTATCGTTGACCTCAGAGTTCTGCATTTCTCTACAGTTTCCATCTCCACTCTGCAGCAGACTGACCACAGACAGAAGAGCACAGAGCAAAGACGCTCTTCTTCTCATCAACCAAACCCTTCTAATACTTCAACTTGAGCTTTTTCAGGTCCACAGGTTCAATACGTCGCTGTTCCTTCCAGCCGCAGAGTCCATGTGGACATCGTGGACTCTTTCATTACTTTCTATCAACTCAATGATTTTCATATTTCTCATCATATCTTTTCTCTTCAGTAAACTACCAATGAGAGTGTGTCCTGTGATGTTGTTCTGAGTGTGACTGTGGTTCCTGATGTGCTGTGTTACAGTGATACAGAGTCAGGATGGATGGAGAGTGAATTACGATCAGACTGACGTCTGTGCTGCAAAAGGATCAAGAGTGTATATAAACTGTGAATTCACACACCCACCTGGAATAGGTCCCTCTGATATAAAAGACAGATTCTGGTTCACTAAAGAGAAAGATGGTGAATCTGTGGATCTGAGAACAGACTCTGAGTATTCAGACCGTGTGGAGTACACATGTTATAGTGATAGTTGTTATCTGACCATCTCAGACGTGAGAGAGAGCGACTCAGCTGAGTACAAACTCACATTCAGGACAAACGAACCAGGAGAGAAATATACTGGTTCACCTGGAGTCACTTTGTCCGTCACAGGTAACATTTTAATTTACATATTAATCATCTACAAATGTTCAACATCTAGAAAACTAGAGTATAAATGTCTTCTGTGAATGTTGACACTTTAATAAATAATATTCACTGATTCAGGTCTCCAGGTGCAGGTGAGAAGATCAGATTCTACCTGGTTGGAGCTGACGTGTCACAGCCGCTGTGTTCTGTCTGATCGTGCTGAATACGTCTGGTACAAGAATGAAGAGATCATCAAGAGAGGATCTTCTCTTCCAGTCTCCTCTGGTTCTACAGACAGATATTACTGTTATTTAATTGGATATTCTGGTCAACGTTCTCCTGCAGTGTGTAAGTTCACTCCACTGTGTCGGCCTGTGGAGCTTCACCAACATCTCACATGGAGGCACCAGACCGCTGCATGTAAACTAGAGGCATCAAAAAGATGAAGCACAACGTTCCTCAGGAGGTGGAGCCGTGGTCCACTGACCAGAGGGTTGCTGGTTCAATCCCCGGCCCCTGCAGTCTACGTGTAGAAGAGTCACTCACACACTGACACAACAATATGATTCTAATCACAGCTGTGAACACACTGGAGTCTAAATGTTAAAGGAGACACAGATCTTTATTTATGTCATTCTCTTATTAATAGAAACACAAATATAAACCATCAGCAGACAGAATAATGTGATTTTCATAAAGACTCAAGTGAATTATTCCAGAACATAAGTAGAAGTGACGTGTCAGCTGGTGGAGGAAACAATCAATAACTCCTACAACAACTAGAAGTGAGAGGACAGACTCAGCTAAGGACACAAGCAGCATCTAAAGAGAAGAATGTGTGGAGATATGAACATTACAAAGGATTAAAGGCTGCTTATTGTCACTTTACACCAGCAGGAGTCTCACCTGTGACAGCTGCTGTGATGAATACTAGAGATAGTCTGAGAGAAAGACACACAAGTATTCATTCAAATGATCAACTATCTACGCTAACATCTTCTGACCTCTTAGTATGTTTATTCACGTCTCCTCCAGATGGTCCACAGCGTCCCTCTGTGTCAGTGAGTCCCTCTGCTGAGATGCTGGAGGGCGATTCAGTGACTCTGACCTGTAGCGCTGATGCTAACCCAGCAGCTAACTACACCTGGTACAAGGAGCATGAAGACTCACCACGAGCATCAGGACAGATCTTCACCATCACTGACTTCACAGCTGAACACAGTGGGAATTATTACTGTGAAGCCCAGAACGAGATGGGACGTAGTAACTCCACCTTACGTCTGATTACTTCTTCAGGTAAATCACACTCATTCTTCTGTTCACTCACACATTACATCAACAATCCAGCTAAAGAAGTGACTCACAGGGTGACCAGACGTCCTCTTTCTGAGACCTGAATAATGCGTCCGGGATTTTGCTTCGTCGGATATTTGTGTTTCTGAGTCTTTCACAAACTAGTTATTCCGCCCTCACAAGTGGTGTAAATGGCGTCTCCCTTACGCTCCACCTTCCTGCGCGAGCTCTGACTGTAGAGAGAACAGTCATTGGTCGACCGATCGCCATGTTGCCAGATACACGATAATTATCCTCCACATACGACCATTTTGAGCCTTTGGTACGATACTTGACCATTTCCAATGTGGCAACACTGAGCACCTTGCCGCCTCCACTAGTTGCTTTGTTTACAGCACATGACATCCGCATCTCTTTTTAATATGTGGCCGTATAAAAGAATTGATTATTTAGAATTTGTATTTGTTATCATCATTGCTTTAATAAATGGACCAGACACATAAAGAAGCGCTGGACTAAATGCCAAGTTCAATAAATAGATGTTCATATAGTCATGTGTGACCTTTGTATGCAGTCACAATGTCATGGTGCGGCATGCTATACATTTTCTGAGGTCCCTGTTGGGAAAAGTCCTTTCTTTGTCCTGTTAATAAAAAGATGAATGTTACATGTGAGCAGCCTAAATAAACAACGGCGTGATGTTTGGAGCATTCAGGACACCTCGAGGTTTACAAGTTGCTCTCCTGCTGCTTGTTGTGACCTTTACATCACCACACAATCACGTTCACACGCACAAACACAAACGAATACTTGCTTTCAACATGTA